AAAAAAAAAAAAAAAACAAAAAAAAAATAAATAAAAAAAAAACAAATAAAATGATAAAAAATAAATTAAAAAATTTTAAAAAATAATAAAACAATGATAAAAAAGATAAGAAAATAATAAAAATATAATAAAAGTATAATAAATAAAATAATAAAAATAATAATAAAAATAATAATAATTTCATAATAATATAATAAAAAAATAATAATAATAATAATAGTAGGACAGTGATATATTCGCTATTGACAATCCTTGGCACATGTATTGTGTGCCTATATAAATAAATAAAATAAATTAAAAAATAACAAAACTCATATTGTCCCTACCCCATGGTGTTAGAATTAGGAGCCTAAACGAACATTCATTCTTTTATACAGTATTCTGTGCACCATGTTAAAATTCTACACACAAAACAATCAATTCACATTTTCGTAGACTACGTGGGAACAATTATATCATTACTACTCAATTGATTTATAGTACAGTACTGGCAGTTACAATCCCTTCAAGTACTCAACATCCTATTGGCGCAGCATAAGCCTATTCTATTTGTATAAATTGTGTAATCATGCACAACCATTCATATCAATTTATAAAACAACTATAAGTATAACAGGAGTCTCTAAATATCACAACCAAAATGGCATAGTTACTTAGTAATACAGTATGTATCTACAGCACTAGCATTATGAATAGATGTTTAAATGTAGCATATCAAAACTAGGTCAGTCAACCACCGAGCGCATTTCTTCATTGCGGTGAAATGTAATACTCTACTGTACTGTACTACCTTTAAGACAGTGTGGAAAGCACATTGTCATCTAGCTCAGCCCTATAGCAATGTAACAATTTGCCTTTATCACACGTAAATGTACAGCAACCATTATGATACCTCATCTAATATATGCTGCATAACAAAAGTAATACAATATCATCATCTCAGAATAAAACTTCAACTTACACATGAAAAATAAAGGAATCTTGAAGATCGGTCAAACGAATTATGTTGACAGTGGAAAGCACATTGTCATCTAGCTCAGCCCTATAGCAATGTAACAATTTGCCTTTATCACACGTAAATGTACAGCAACCATTATGATAGCTCACCTAATATATGCTACATAACAAAAGTAATATAATATCATCATCTCAGAATAAAACTAAAATAAAAAGGAATCTTGAAGATCGGTCAAACGAATTATGTTGACAGTACCAATTTTTGTGACCAACAGTGATACAGCGAGAAAATGTTTCCGCAAGCATTTGAGAATGTTAACCAATTTATACAACAAATCCTTTACACACACACACACACACACACACACACACACACACACACACACACACACACACACACACACACACACACACACACACACACACACACACACACACACACACATATATATATATATATATATATATATATAAATATATATATTGCATATATATATAACTTCATGCGCATTCTGGTTTTTTATTGGGGTTCAATGTGGTTATGTTTACTAATTATGTTTTTACACATGGCATACTGTAACTGTAACTGACTTTTACATTGTTTTTATTAAATATTTTATGCAGCACGTGACCGTCGGGAGAGTGTTTTTTTATATTAAAAGTAGAAATGTTCTTGAAACATTGGTCTGGATATTCATAATGTAGGGTTCCTGTGTTTTCCGGATGTGGGATGCTGGTTGTAGGGTAGATTGTCGTTGTATCCGCTGGATACATACATACATACACACACACACACATACATACATACATACACACACACACACACACACACACACATATATATATATATATATATATTCACAAAAAGATTTACTCTTCAAGAATAAAATAACGATTAAGACATAAGAGACGGATCAAATTTGTGTGGAGACAATATGCAAAACTCATTAACATCATATGGGAAAACATATTAATATGTCTGAAGATAAATTGTATAACCAACTTTATATAGTATATATAGTTATAGACCAACTATCATCTACGGTGCACAAACCTGGATACTAACAACTAAATTTGAGAATGGTTTTTGCCGCAGCACAACACAATATGGAAAGAAACATGTTACTATTGTTAGATTTAAATTACATGCCGAAACAAATAGGCCAATAATAAATAAAAAATAAGCAAGCAAGCAAGCAAGCAAGTCAGCAAGTCAGCAAGTCAGCTAGTCAGTCAGTCAGTCAGTCACAACACAATATGTGATAGGGAAAGAAACATGTTAGACATAATTACATACAGAAACAAAAGACAAATATATTAGTGGATTAGGGGAAAAACCCAAATTCAGGACATAATGGAAATAATTAAACCACGAAATGGAAATATGCAGAACATGTTAGCAGAATGTCACACAACAGATGGAAAGCAGCAGCACAATGGAGACCCATGGATGGTAAAAGGAATAGGGAAGACAGCGTAAAAGATGGAGAGATAGGTCGATAAGTGTTGGGCAACATATTCGGATTTACATTCGTCAATACAGAGTGGCTCTGTATAAACATTTGAGTACTTAAGAGGTCGGTTTGTACACTTAGAAGGATACGGATCCGGGAGATTTTTAATCTAGTGATATATGCAAATGAGATGAAACATAATCATTGTTAGGCAGAATCAACAAATAAGACTAGGCCTATATAGTAAATTGTAGTCACATGTGTCTAAAAGATTTATTGTTAAGTATTTTAATAAATTAGTATTGTTGACACTTGCATAAACACCATTTAAAGCAATTTGGGTTAAAAATCCAGGAGCAATAGAAAAGCCGAACGTTGTCACCAACGGATACTCGTCTTGTGGATGTATCAACATCTACAGCAGATGAGATACGTTTCATTGATATTATACAAATACAAATATGCAACACGTATACAAATTCTCAAAATGTAAATGTATTTTCTTTTTTCCCTCTTTTTCTATTTTTTTTGTTGTAAATTCTCATTTAAAAGAATCATCCTCCTTTTATATATTGCAGTGTATAATTAAGATTTTCTGATGTATTTTGTTATATATTGGACCAATTAAGATTGAATTGAAGTTTTAAACCTTTCGTGAGAGTATAGAATTACAAAACGGTTTACTATCCTTAATAATAAAGGTGTATGATTATAGAAATGATATAATTTAACAGTCAGTCAATTGGTAAGAACATTTTATCCATTCTACTTTTCAGTTGAAATTTTTCCTTCTTTTAATTTTCAGTTCAAATCTAATAAGGTATTGAAATATTCAAAATAGCATAATATTGATTTTAAATAACCATTCATCGTATTGATAGATGTTGCTATCCGTCTTATGCTGTAACGTGAAGGCTTCCATCAATTAAACATAATATGGAATACATTAAAAATATACCTTGATCCCAGCGGCTTCGTCTGTCGCATCAGTGCATTCTGTCTTATTTATGTCGATCTGTAGTCTTAATCCGCTTCTTGAGCCCGCATTGGCAATATTCAGTGGTGCTGTTGCCATTGAACGTATAACATACGCCGAAGTCGTACAAATGGGTAGTGAAATTTTCTGGCCCACACGGGTAGTAATATTGCCACTTACAATGTACGAGAATATCCTCAATTGGATGACTTAATGTGTACAACATTTCAGTGAAGTTCAAATTGTTGTATGGTGTAAAATTAACGAACTTTCACGAAAATGGTCAAAAAAGTAGTTCTCTTCTTCTGACAACTTCGACGCCCGGATTTGGTTGTAGTTACAGAATGTTACAGCCGGGAAAGCTATCATTTTGTTAGGATAGATTGAATTTACCGTCGTAACAGGAAAACTGTAGTACTTTGATATACTCAAGTACAGTGTAAATGACAGGATTAAAATTGCCGATAATACCAAAATAATCCACAAACACCTGAAAATCATTTAGGAAAACGTAAACAGCTTTTATTTGACAATATATAGTGGAATTTTGCAACATAAAACTAATTTTTGTTGAAAGCAAACAAACATTGTGACATTCATTCGAGGTATACTGATAAAAATAATGATAATAGAATCGATGTTTTTCGGTTCCGGGTTCGAGAGAACAGTTGGGAGTGTTGCAAATATTATCAGCAGTGTACTCAATGATAATTAATGCAGAGCGAATTAATATCAACATAAGTTCAACAGTAGCTTGGATTAGACGTACTACAGTATTTAGTTTTGTACTACATGGTGCAACATTATGTTAGTATGTTAGTTTGTGGGTGTCTATGTATTTATCAGTGGCTAAGCGTAGGAACAAAATATTAGGTATCTGTTCCCTAAGGCAAGCGAGCGAAGCGACCATTTAGGCTAGGAACAAGAGGGGCCACCAAAGCTCCCCCGTGATGTCCATGAGGATACGCCCCTTGGGAACTACGAATATTCGAAAAAACTTGGATAAAGTATATTAGTTGTTTGATAGGCACCACGCTACATGTAACATGACTTCATTATTGTTGTCAGGGGTTTATTTAAGAATTTGAGTAGCAAGAGAAATTTGAAAGTAACAGGAGAGTAAATTGAAATAGGCAGGGGTATAGGGGGCCGCCTAGGCCCCCATCGCGGTCCAGGGGCAGAGCCCTGGTCGGGGGTCAAGGGCGCGGAAGCGCCATTGCGCTCCAGGGTTTTAGAGTTTTTTAAGCCCATTTGATGGCATTTCTCTACATAATTTTTTTTTTAAGTTTTTCAGAATCAGTTACTGAGCTCTAAAAAAGTTGATATTTTTACATATTCTTCATACATAGGCCTACCTAGCCTAAATACTGTAAACCAGAAACTTTCGCGAATTGATAATTTCGGCCGTTTTCGCGACATTATTTCGGCCGTTTTCGCGACATTAAACTTTCGCGAATCTCAAAAAGCCTAAATTTAATTCATGAGAGGAATATCATACAATAGCTGAAAATATCGTATCGTGAGTTTAGGCCTAGGTTAGCTAGGCCTACAGCCACTGTGTAGGCTACAGTATCTAGGCCTAGGCAGGCTAAGGCGCCATAAGCCTGCCAGGACTTAACTGGCTATCCCAGGTAAGAAAGAGACAAGTTTACACACATACAGTACTCACTCATATGATATTCCTTAATTTTGTATGGTATTCAAGCATCCTACAAAATGAACAATGTTTATCAATGTTTTTTTATTAACAAACTATTTTCCTGTAGGCCTAATATCGATTCAAATACATTGATTGATGATAATTGAACATCGTGGTATGTCATATGGTACGGAAAATTAGTTTCCCATTTGAACTTCTTAGTATACAGCACAGTGGTTGCACATGTGCAATCACATGCAGTGATGATCAGAACCTCCTTGATTATTATACTTACTGAGTAGGTTAGAATAGGCCTAGAATTTACGAATTTTTCGAGCTCAACATCGGAATTTAAAGTCAGAATATTGATTCAATAATTGAAATACATTCTTTTTTAAGTTTATACACATTTAATAAAACCCACCAATTTTATTGGGGATTCACCATTTAGGTCTATGCCCTAGATCTGCGTTGAAAAAAAACAGTGCCACCTCCCATTTATGTGTTGTTCACAACTTGGGGTCAAAGGTCACATAAGGGGCATTAGGGTAAAAAAAAATCGTATAAAAGACTACTTGTCTTACAAATAACGGAGCACAGTCTTGTCCTTTTCACATATACATTGGCATAAGGCAGAGTCTATAGGGCTGTCTCTTATACACATCTAGATGTGTATAAGAGACAGGCCCAATGTACGGAAAAAGAGTTTGGGCGATGTATATAGTCATCACCTGAGCACGTGGTGGAGGAGAAATTTCTATTATCTTATTGGCTAACATGTGATTTGGAGGCGTGGCTTCTTTGATGGACTCACCCAGGCGCGACTGCCGAACTTTGAACTTTAACTTTGTTTACGCCGCGAGTTCATGAAATGGAGTATGAAAATTGGTAGACATTTTAAGGAACTTTCAACAGAAAGGAACATCGAAATGAGTGCATACTATTGCAAATTAACTTCGTGTAGGTAAATAAGGTTCTTTACAGGCCTGTTGCGCTATTTATATTGGTGGTTTTTGTATTAATTTTTGTACAGCATTGATTGAAGTAGCCGGCGAAAACATCGTAGTAGCCGATCGAATGCGCCGGCGGCCGGCTCTTAAATAAACCCCTGGTTGTAATGCCCAAGCAAATGTCGAAGTTGACTTGCACGTACGATAACAATGAATTCTATACATCATGAGGGTAGGCTTATGCTTGATGAACTAAGAGTACTAGGCCTAGGCTAGACTTGCCACAAGTCTCTAATTATAGGTTTTCCTAGTATTAGTTAATTTTGGAGAGGCTACCAGCGACGGTATATATCGAGAAACTTTTATGCGAATTAGAAAAATCCAAGAAAAAGTATACTATGAAACGCCAAGTAAATAGGTAATATGGAACGCCATTGGTGTCAAAATAGATTTAAAGACAAAGATTAGGGACTGGAACCCAGTCTAGGCCTAGGCCTAAATTAGGCCTAGTCGTCGACCTGTTGTTTTGGACTACATCGTCATTGCTATAAAATCAGTTTTTATGAATAATAATAAAAAAGATGAAAAGTGTTTGACTAAGCCCTGAATAGGCCCAGGAGGCCGGGCCTACGCTTGGCCTTTGTAGTAGTTCTAGGGTAGTGAGCTAGGATAGCGAGCGACCGCTCGTTTACATGAGAATGAATTTAGGACTTTCCAGTGACACAATTCGTTTTACGGTGATTTCAAAGTGTTAGTCGTGTTGTATGCTTCGTGCGCATTATGCTAATGGGCCTAAAACATTACAATAATATTCAGATCTTACTGATTACTTATACTACAGAAATTCAAGGTTTACCGATTGTACGGGAGGTCCTATCTTACTAAGATTCACGATACAATGACTTTTACATTGAGTATGATTTTGGACACTATCGACGCATCATACTCCTAGCACTAGTAGATACCCTATTTCATCTGTGAGCACCATGTAACGGGGAAAATCTGTTTATTATTATGAAGAAGGCGTTTCAGTATTAAATAAGCATACCTAATGTAACCTTTGAACTTTCAAGGACTCTATTATGGGATGTTCCCGCGGAGTCTTGCTCTCTCGTGGGGGTTCGTCGACTAGCCAAGCTGCGTCTTGTTGGAGGCTCACACTTTGTATAGAATAAAACCGTTAACATCCAGCTTACTTGGTGTCTGGCTCATTCATTGAAGTCCGAACTCATCTAGTAACATCCATAGAGAGTTACACTGGTGCCGTGACCTGGTGTTATCTTCTTTTACCGGAGATAACCGAGCCGCATCATCATCAGTAGTGTGCAACCTCATCATCAGCTAGCCGACCAGACTCATCCCACATCACGCGCAGCGAAGATTGTATCTTTTCATGTGTCAATTTTCCCTAGGCCACAGTATCTATAATTTTTTTTTTTAAAGCCTGTGGTATATATATCCTTGTAGGTTATATGGTTTCCGTCCTAACGTACTTTATTTCGTATATCCCCCATAATTTTGTTATTTCGTCCGTCTACCTGTACACGTATATCATCTGTGTAGGCCTACCTACGCTCGCTGAGCGTGAATCAGCTTATTCATTTTGCATTTGTTGCTAGGTTACGTACTTCGTTGTTAGTATTGCTAGGCCTAGGCTCGCTATAGTTATGGCGCCGGGTAAAAATTCTAAGAAATCCTCATCTCCTCCCCCTGACCTTAATCAGGGTAGT